TCACACGTAGAATTTAATGCGAATTAGTTTACTTCACATTAGTTTACTGCGCATTAAATTACTTCGCATTAGCTCTGTGTGAAGGCTAAGCAAAGCTAATTCAAATTAAATTTGGGGGCATGCATAATGGCAAAATTAAGTCAAATGCGTCATGTTGGTGGTCAGCTCTAAGTACTTGTGCTATTTTTGAGTGAAAAACTAACTTGAAGAAAAAATGTGTTCAAATTATTATCCCTTATCAAAATGAAATCCATTTAGATACCATTTAAAAGCCATTTCTTTTCTGACCATTTAAAGACCATTCAGAAACCATTTTATTTCGTCAAATCTTTCAAGAATTCTCAACAGAAAGGCTGATCATTTAAAAACCGTTTTTCATTTTATCTCCATTAAAACCCCATTCAAAGTCCATTCAAACACCATTCAAACACCATTTTTTGGGGCCCTGTAACATGCAAATTAACCATTCCAAAACCATTTATGCAAATGAGATGAAAAATGAAAAATAAATGGTTTTTGTTTTAACCATTTAATATCCATTTTAAAACATTTTCTCCATAATTGAAAAATGAAAAATTTAGGTGGGTCCTTAATTGATATCCATATGCAAGGAATATTAAGCACTTTAAAAATCCATCTTCTTAGTGCAGAGTCAGTCACAAAATAGAGGTCACTTGTTCAATTTTTTTTTCACATATTTGGTTTTTGAATTCCTGGAAATTTTTATCAATTAAAATCCCAATTTGATCTGAATTGTGGTAGTCTTGCTCCATCTTTGAAAATTTATATCTTCCCGTGCTCATTTTTGTGCTCCATCATGTCCATATGACAATGTATGCAAGCAGTATTCTAAAAATAAAAGGAAATGCAAGAAAATATTTACAAAAATTTATTATAATTGATGTTAATCAATAAGAATTTACAAAAGTGTCCATCAGTCTGACAAATTTTCGTTAACAATTAAGATTGGTTTATAGATTATTGCATCAGTATGATTAATGGGCACTCGATCCTTTTGCGTTTTCTTTGGGAAACAACATTTTTCTGTTAACTGAAATTAATAAAATTATGTACATATTTATACTTACCACTCAAAAAGAATAGGGTCCTTTCAGTGAATGGAAAACAAATTAATGTGTTGCATTTCTTCTGCTGTAATTAACGTACGTTTAAACTTCCCAATTGGGCAAATGTTTGAAACATGAAAACTGCAGTCACAAATAATCATCTTCCAAGAAATCAGTTATCTATTTCTGCCTTGACCATCAATATACAGTTTTGTCAGCTTCAAAAAACACTAAAAACCTATAGATTCCTTGAAGAATAGTCCATCCATCTAAACTCACTACCAGCTAGGTCAAAGTGCTCTTGTCCAATATTCAAACTTAAACTGGAAAAGGCGGTCACTACAGAGCTTGGGAAGAAATCTGATATCCAGTGCCCTGGCACATGGCATCAATTAACCACTGATAAATCTATCTTAATATTAAAGGCTAAGACTAACCATTTTTTTTCTTGTCTCCATTTCTCAGAAAATAAATGGGAGAAAAATGGCCCGATAAAGCAAGGTGGATCACCAAACTGGCATTTCTTTTCCATTTACTCAAATAAATGGAAAGAAAATGTTGGAACTTTACCATTAAAAATAGATTTTCTAACAGAAATGGTTCTTAAATGGTTCTGAGAAAATGGTTTATGAAAATTGAAAGATAGATAAATGTAGGAAAAATGGTTTTGAAATGAAAAATGGCTAAAAAATGCTGAATGAATGGAGATAAAATGGAAAAATGCCATTTCTTTTTGCTATGAGAATAACTAAAATATGTCTCCAGACACTGTGACATTATGTCAAATGCATCTGCTTCTGCATAAGGTGACTTGACTTGTAAATGACGTCATAATAGCCTTCCTCACGCCTGATTGTCAAAGTAAAATTTTAATTCACATTAGTTTCCTTTGCATTAGATGTCGTGTGAACACAATTTAACTCGCATTAGTTTGATTCGCATTAGTTTCCCAAGTGAAAATTTTTTCAAACAAATCACTCACAAATTGCCTACAAATTACTTTAAAATCACTTATAAGTGATTTGTTTCAGTGATTTGTAAGCAATTCATTTAACAAATCATGCTTAAATCACTTTCTACTAAAATGATGACTATGATTTGCTTACAATTTGTTATAAAAGGGTGATTTGCTTGTGATTTCTTTCCCATTTCAGACAATTTCTGAGTGATTTGTTAAACTTAGGAAATTATTAACAGTGATTTCTTCATGATTTATTGAACTTAGCCATTCTACAAGGTGATTTGAACATGATTTCTGGAACTTAGTCTTTCTTCAGAGTGATTTGAAGATGATTTGTTAACTTAGTCTTTCTTCAAAGTGATTTGTAAATGATTTGTTGATCTCATGGCCCTTCTTCAGAGTGATTTGAGAATGATTTACTTCATTACTTCCGCCTGGCTTGCTGATTGGTCAGTATTAGAAACTCTACCGCCAATTTTCATTAATCAGATTTGAATTGAAATGAAAGGAGCTACATTGTGCTTTTCTAGATTCATACCTCTCTTCTTTTGTTGAAACTGATGTTTTTTCAATAGAAGTGCAGAATAGAGTTTTAAGGTATGTATAACTGTATTATGCTATCATTTCCTCTTGAGATTCAGTTAATATTTCCTATGTTCACATGCAATTTATTGTTCTTCTACCAACAACAAAGTCGGTGGCAATCAATGTTTTAAACAAAATCTATGTAAAGCTATAAGCTTCAGAAAAGTACTGGCTTTTTCAAAGTGTCTAGACAAATATGTATTTTAGATAAGAAAACATTTACCAACTTCTAAAAGTCAACAATTAATGCTTATATCGTATTCTGAATTTGGAGCCAAGTACATGTGTATATATCTAAAATACATGATGCCATCTTAATGAGGACACATCCTAGTAAAAGTTTATATTTTAAAATACACTTGCCAAAAGTTTTTTGTTCATATACAACAAATACCGGTATGCATGCCTGTGTGTTTCAAATATTTAAGGGATGGTTACATGAGCATCCGACACACAAGTGTGTAACCACCTGGAGTGATTTGAAAGTGATTTGTTAAACTGAAGTGATTTGTTTGCAATTTATTTGAAATGATTTTTTTGCAATTTATTTGGAGTGATTTGGTTGCGATTTGTTCAACAGAAGTGATTTCTACACGATTTACTCTCAGTGATTTCGTTGTGATTTCAGGGTGATTTGCTTACAGTTTGTTAGGAGTGATTTGTTAGCTCATTTGCATGGGAATTTGCATCACTTACAAATCATCTTCAAATCACTGATTCATTAGTGATTTCTTAGAGTGATTTGTTTGAGGATTTTTTTCACTTGGGTTACTTCGCATTATTTTACTGCAAATTAAACTTGTTGTGTCAACAGGGCATAAGTATATATATTTACAATGAAGAAAGGTGCATCGAGCAAAATGATTACTTTTATGCCCCTGGGTCAGGCGTATTAGGTGGGGGGGGGTTGAAAATAAATAGTCTGAAAATAAGTTAATGCTTTGAAATCTGCTCTTTGGTATTAATTAACCATTTATGATGAAATAAAATTTCATTATGATAAAATTTCCAAAATTGTGAAATATATGGCCCCAGGGTCAGTGGTTCCTGTGGGGTGGGATGCACAACTGGTTGTAAAGTGGAAGTGCATTTTCTTTTTGTTACTCTGATCTATCTCCTTGTATTAAGTAACTAGAGTAAGCATGTTAAGTGTATAATTATGATAAGCAATGGTGCCTCTTTCAAAATTGTGAATTTCAATCATGGTCTCTGGTTTAAAATGAGAACCAAATTCAATTGTTGGAAAGTTGTTACATGTTACTCAGGTGACCTTTAAGGCCCGTGGGTCTCTTGTTAATTAGGCAATTTGTTATGAAAGACCTGAGAGTCCAATTTACACTTTAAAAAATATAGTTCAATATCCTATTAGTAACAACAATGTAATTATTAGATACCTAAGATATTGTTTGAGATTTTTAAGATATTTTATATAGATATGACAAAAAAGAGGCGCCCATAATTTATCCACCTTGTAAAAATATTAACGACTCTCTCGAGACAGAGAATTTGGGTTTTGATTGTCACCACACTTATTTTGGGAAAGGTCTTATATTCTTATTCACCCATTCTGTTGCCGCGATTTGTCCATTTCTGACAAATACTGTAAACCAACTTTTATTCGCGACGACTTTATTTCGCGATTTACCTGCGTTAAACTAGTTCGCGACGATTAATTTTCGCGATCAACCTTATTTGATCGGTTGTAAATAGACATAGAGACTCTAAGGACTTGTTCGCAGCGAGAAATATTCGCGATGACAAGGCTCTCGCAAAGTTCGCGAAAATTTCTCGCACTCGAATAAAAGTTGCTTTACAGTAAACTGTTCTTGTTATAAAAATTAAAATTAACTTTCATGGTACATGTAAGAAATATAAAACTAAGAAGAATCTTTCAACATTTGTGACAAAATGCTATGGAGCAGGTCATGTGACCGCCTATATCACTTGATTCGCCCATGAGCAGTACGGTGGCCTATGTGAGAGAGGACTAATTTAAAATATAATATAATCAACACTGAAACCAAATATTGTTTCTTTTATGAAAGTTATTCAATTAATTTGCGAACGTTTTGATCACCCCTCATATATGGATTTGTACACCTCTTTAAATAAATTTTGACAGGAAAAAATTGGGAATTTATGTTTTGTTATTTTTTTTTCATTTCTCTTTGAATATTATGCAAAAATTTTCATAACTTGATATCTGTTCAAAACCCCTGGAAACGCATGAGAAATTATTAGTATTTCCTTAAAAGTGTCCAATGGTTATGACAGGCAGTATGCTTTTATTACGATTCTTTCTCTGAGAAAAGAGCCAGCTATTTGTTCTCTCTAACAGCAAAGTCATGAAAGCATTGTATATGCATAACTTGATTATAATTACTGACATGAAAATGTAGGTGCTTCAAATTTATGTTTCCCCCTTTGAAAAAGGGAGGGTATATTGCTTTGCTGCTGTCCGTCAGTCTGTCTGTCCATTTAGTTTCCGTTCATTTTCTTCACAACTGTTGCCCATACTGAGGAGGAGGAGCCCATCACCTTGACATATCCATTGTATTTGAGATATTGGTGTGTGAGATAATGAGGTTGTACTGTTATCTGTTTTTCAGTATTCCACCGAGGAGGAGGAGCCCATCTGAGGAAGATCAGCTGTTTGAGGAACTGATGGAAGAAGGACGACTGTAAGTAAAAACTTTGTTATAAGGTTCACATGTTGATTGAATGAAAACTCGATTTTTAATTTCTTTTTAAGAGATATGTATTTGAAAAAAGGTTAGCTGTTCAATTAGCTGTCAATTTGTGAATATTTCCATTTCTATTTGTTTTCTCTTTGATAACTCTTAGTTAATGGAGTTGATTTCTTGATAATTCTACTGTAATGTAAATTAGGCAAATCAATTGGTAAGTAGCCAAGGAGGCCTAATACACACGTAAATCTTGTGTGCATCTGTGTTTGTGTCTGACACTAAGGAGGCCACATATATGCATGTAAATTTCGTGCGGCTGTCTTTATGTTTTACTAGTGGACAAGGACTAATTGAAATTTACATACCCTCGGCGTCAGCGTCAAAGTCGGCATCCCAGCTAGGTTAAGGTTCAATGTTTTGAAGCAGTTTTCTTTTTAAGTACTTCAGTGTCCTATAGTCATTAGACATGCATGGAAGATGCTTCTAATGTGTTTAATTCTACTATAGTCAAAGTTTCAGATGCTGCAATTTAAGCAAAGGAATGACCAGGTTAATGGTTAATAAAGTTTATGGAAATTCAGCATAATTGTGTTAATTTTTAGCAGAAAGATGACTATCAGGTACATAATTCTATGCCTGTCTTAAACAAGAAATGATATTACTGTGTGAGAACTGGGCAATTATCATGTTATTTGTTCATGTCCATCCTTCTGTCTTTAACTCCTTTCAAATCTGGCTCAAATATTAAAATTAAAATATGAAGTGTAGAGTAATCCATTTTTTCCCTTCCACTCTTGGAACTGTTTATGATTTTTAAAACGTGCATGTTTTATCACATGCCATGCTGCACCAATATGTGAGGTCAATAGGTGAAAGGCACAGGGGCCTGTAACATACTGTATTTGATTTTACCTAATCACTATATGTATACAAAAAGAGAAAGGGAAACAACGTCAGCTCGAATTTACACAGGGTCGATCTCGGAAATGAAATAAAATACCTTGCAGTTAGTGAAATAACGTCTTGGATCATTCAGTAATAATCACTCTTTAATAAAAATACCATCGCGGTCATTTAAGAATCGTGTAAGTCGTGTTTTGCAGATCCGATATCCTGTCGTGCAAGTGATGTACTTTAAGTCATCCACTAAATTCGCTCAACATTGCATCCAATATTTAACGCGAGATGTGATTGGTCAATGGTGCTTTTCTAGAACAGATCTGACCAATCACGCTCCGCCTTTTACCAATCATGGGTTTTTCCAAAATGTCGTCTGTTCTGGGCTCGATCGTCTCTTTGAACGAAAAAAGCTACCGTATTCATTCAAATCGGAGATGTTGTACCTTTTAATTGCAATTAACAAAAGAAAAAGATGATTTTCGTGAACGCTGGATCTTTACTTTGTGTTTTCCATCTCCTGAAAGACTTCAAAAGTGAAGAAAATGTGCTAATTTTGCTTCGTTTTAGTGGACGACTTAAAGTACATCGACTCGCACAACGGGATATCGAGTTAGTAATACCCAACTTAAACGCTATAAAAAGTAACGAGGTTTCTGTGTTATTAAAGAATATTTATTGTAGTATGATTTCTATTATAATTTAATTGGCTACATTCTTTTTTCTATGAAATACGAAAAATTTCTGAGATCGACCCTGTGTAAATTCGGGCTGACGTTGTTTCCCTTTCCTTTTTTGTATATATATATATAGTGATTATGTAAAATCAAAAACAGTATGTTACCGGCCCCTGTGGTGAAAGGGGCAAAAATTTCTCTGTATACAGAAATATACAACAAAAAGAATTTTTTTTATCAAATTGCCTTATTTCAAATTTGCCCACAAGCAACAAGAGAAATAAAACAATGACAGAGTTTGATCCTGGACTTGTAATTGTAGGGATGAGGAGAGGCTTCGTTTGGTACATGAGAGCTTGCGGGCGGCTGAGGAGGAGCTGCGGATACTGAGAGAGGAGACGGAGGTAAACATTAACAGTCTAACACAGCTCAACGTGCCCCGTGTACAAAAATAGTTTATATTTTTTTGAGAATGAATTATGTGAAATTCAAAAGCACTCCGGTGAGATTTTTTGAATAAACCATTTAGTCAGGGGTTCTGATTCAAGTGCAGGGCTTCATTGTTTAATTTTAGTATTTTTTTTTTACTCATAGAAAAGTTGTCCTTTTGATTCAAAGAGTCTGGGGGTGGCAGCCATTTTCAGACTATTTTGATCTCCTTTAAAAGAAGAGCTCCATATAAAGATAATACAAAAATGATCAAAATTTAAAACTAAAATGTATGAATTTTTTCTATGCCAAATGATAGTTGACTGCTTAAGATACCATTTCTAAAAAAGTAAGTTAGTTTGTTGACGGTCCTAGCCTTCTTACCCAAATGCTTATAAACTTGTGACCTGGTCCATAAGCTTAAAGATATGTATGCCGTGTTAAACAGTATTTTTGCACAGCTGAAACCAAACAAAAATTTCTGAAGTATATGTTAAGCTATCAAAAATGAAGCATTCCTGCAAATTGGATGAAATATTTTTCGGTATTAACAAAGTACTGGTCGGGAAAAGAACACAATATTCTCATGCATATTTATAAAGGACTGATGTATATGCTGGATCTGCGCATGTGCACGGGAAAAGCATTGCGAGAATCATCAGATTGAGGAAACTATATTTTGTGACATCTGTTCAGTGAGGCACCAACATGACTGACAAATCGACCAATCAGCTCAATGAGTTGCATTTAATGCATTTATGGGTTACTACATAAAATACTACATGTGTTTTTCGAAAAGGCTTGTTTTTTAAATTCGCTCTCGTAAAGACGTGATGCATTTTCCAAAGCATTTATACACTTAATGCATTATGTACATAATTATCTACTAATCCCATGCTCACATTTGCATACAAATGATTAACAATGATAAAAATTACAGTTTTCCCCACTCCATTGTACAGGTCCATTTGTTTACAGATTCCCCATGCTGTACAGTCAGTGAAAAGACAATTTCATGTGACAATATATTCCGCGGTACAAAATGCAACCAACTCTGAGGTGTGCTCACGTTACTTGACAATGTTTACAATGTGTACAACTTCGAAACATACAGTATGCTACTTAATACACGTTCTAGGATCAATGCACATGAGAATTAATAAAGAGGTAATTAAAATTTTTTTAAAAATGTGAAACTTAAGTCTTTTTTATAAATGCATAAAATTTAAATTTCTACATGTAGTAATTTAATAGCTTAGCAACAACTAATTCAACCAGTTGCATGGAAAATTTACGGATAACAAGAAAAAAAGAATTTGTTTGTCAGTGTGAGCATGGGAATTCTCACTTATTACCTATTCTTCTTATTTTTCTCAATCACGTTTCAAAATTGTAAATTGACTTTCTAGTGGTCATTTGAAATTGTATCCTAAATTTCCCTAACCCACGTGTTTGTAGTAAAAACGCAGTAGACCATCATGCTTTTCGGCTCATTCACGAGATTGGACCTGATTGTTTGCTGTGAGCATGCAAGACCATGTGATCATGAATATTTCAATAAGTTGCGGTTTATAATATCCGACTCGGAGAGAAAATAATTTTTACAAAATAATGTTTAAAAACTTTTAAAAGTGATGGAGTAGAATTGTCTTATTTGCAGAAAGTATATAACTTTTATAACTTGATGAGACACCACATATATTTATTTCTTTAGAAATGAAACTCCAATATGGCATATATATCTTTAAGGTTTTATTACATTCCTCTTATTATTTTAGCTCATCTGAGCTGAAGGCTTTAACTTGAAAGAGCTTTTCTCAAGAACCAGTTTTAACCGGACTTGCACTAAGTATCCTTGGGTGATGGAAATTCAGTTGATGGCTCCACTCTCTTCTAAGGGAAGATAATTATGAATTAGTGAAAAATTAATTGGATCTTTTAAAAATCCTTTTCTATAAAGGAACAAATGTGTAGGAAAGATGGAACTTGCATGGATACATCTTCAAGCAATCTAATTAAAATAAGATGTTAGATCCGTTTGCATACTCGCTACACTAACATCTAACAACATCCCACTGAGGGTCACGTCAGAGATCAAATTCTATCAACCAATCAGATCGTCGCCTGCATTTGAAGCGAATAAGTCTAGAACTGTTCCGAATTTGACCTCTGACGTGACCCTCAATGGGATGTTGTTAGTGTAGCGAGTATGCGAGCGGAGCTTGCATTTAATTTTAATTAGATTGAACTTCAAGTAGTGTAGATTCAAGTTTATGACCCCTATAAGTGAAAGGGTGGGGCTATAATGGATGATCAAAGTTTTACATAGGAATATATAGGCAAAAATCTTGGTCATATATACACGAAAGCATTCTCAGCTGAAATAGTGTAGATTCAAGTCCTGAGTGCCCGAGGCAAAGGAACAGTTGCTACCATTATCTTTGTTGTCTTCGCTTTAAAATTTAATAATTTTGAAATGTGGCAATATTACAGGTATTCAGATATTAAAAATGAATTGATCAAAATGAAAAATTCTCAGACGCATGAAAATTTTAATTCCTGATAAACATAAATTTAAACTAATTTGATTATAATATTAATTTTTAGCTCTACTAATCAGAGACCAGAAGAGCTTATGAGATAGTAATGCGTCCGGCGTCCGGCTCTGTCTGTCTGTCTGTCTGTCTGTCTGTAAACAATTTTTCAAAATGCTACTCCTCCTACAGTTTTGGTCTGATTTCAATATAACTTGGCACACAAGTAGACTACACTAAGATACATAATTCTATACATTGGTTTTTGATTTCGATGAACGGTGTTGCCATTGTTACTAAAAATAGAAATTTCTGTGAAATTCTTTCAAAATGCTACTCCTCCTACAGTTTTGGTCTGATTTCAATATAACTTGAACATAAAGAGGCTCAATCAAGGATCATTATTCTATTTATTACTGTTGTAAAGTTTCAATATTCCCAGCTGCTTATTAAAGTATTTTCTCTTCCTTTGCTATAAGTACAAACCAGTAGAGCTTCAGTCTTTACAGGGACTTCTGGTTTTTTACTGTTGTAGTGTTTGTTCACGATGAGCGTTTTTGTTTATTTGGACAAATGTATATTTAATGTACTTTGATGGGTAAAATCTGAGTAAACCTGCTTTATAAATATTATTTCAGTATGAGGAGATGCCTACGTTTGATGTACAGGATCCTGTGAGGCCTGTTTTGCCTCAGTCCTGTGCAACTCCCTCCCCACCTGCTGATCCTGATGTTCCTGGTGTAGTGGCAGATGTCCCTGATGTGGTGGCAGATGTTCCTGGTGTGGTGCCGCATGTTCCTGGTGTAGTGGCAGATGTACCTGGTGTGCTGCCGGATGTCCCTGATGCTCCTGGTGTGGTGGAAGATGTTCCTGGTGTAGTAGCAGATGTTCCTGGTGTGGTGGCAGATGCTTCTGGTGTGGTGGCAGATGTTCCTGGTGTAGTGGCAGATGTTCCTGATGTGGTGGCAGATGTTCCTGGTCTAGTGGAAGATGTTCCTGGTGTAGTGCCAGATGTTCCTGGTCTAGTGGCAGATGTTCCTGGTGTGGTGCCAGATGTTCCTGGTCTAGTGGCAGATGTTCCTGGTGTAGTGGCAGATGTTCCTGGTGTGGTGGCAGATGTTCCTGATGTGGTGGCAGATGTTCCTGATGTGGTGGCAGATGTTCCTGGTGTGGTGGCAGATGTTCCTGGTGTGGTGGCAGATGTTCCTGGTGTGGTGCCAGATGTTCCTGGTCTAGTGGCAGATGTTCCTGGTGTAGTGACAGATGTTCCTGTCGTGGTGCCAGATGCCCCTGATGCTCCTGGTGTGGTAGCAGATATTCCTTGTGTGATGGCAGCTGCTCTTGATGTAGTATAATTATAAAACTTTCAAGGATATCTGAAAATTTTTTTAAAAAAATCTATTACATTCCATTGAGGGAGGGTTTGGGGTAGAGTTAGGATTGTTTAGTTCCCTTGGTCCTTTTTGATTGGTTAAACCCCCTGGTGGATCGGGGGCTTAGAGAATAGGTTCCTGGCCTATTAGAGGCTTGTCGTAAGAGGCGACAGAATTTTCCATTAAATAGTTGTATCGTTCAAGATTTTTTTAAAAACTAAATTAAAGAAGTTCAGTTAGTTTTATTCTTATCTATGCTATGTCTTATACAACTCATGCACACACCGCCATATAGGCATAGCATCTATAAGAATATAGTTCCTTAGCCCTGTTAAAACCAATTAATAAAAATTAAAGATAAGAGATGAAATAGGTTTGAGTTCAATTATCTTATGATTACTTAAGAAAGTAGGAGTTAAGTTATTATAAGATTAAACATCAATTTCTGTTGTTTGCTTCAAGAGGTTTGTCTTAAATAATTATAAAACTTTCAAGGATATCTGAAAATTTTTTAAAAAAAATCTATTACATTCCATTGAGGAGGGTTTGGGGTAGAGTTAGGATTGTTTAGTTCCCTTGGTCCTTTTTGATTGGTTAAACCCCCTGGTGGATCGGGGGCTTAGAGAATAGGTTCCTGGCCTATTAGAGGCTTGTCGTAAGAGGCGACAGAATTTTCCATTAAATAGTTGTATCGTTCAAGATTTTTTTAAAGACTAATTAAAGAAGTTCAGTTAGTTTTTATTCTTATCTATGCTATGTCTTATACAACTCATGCACACACCGCCATATAGGCATAGCATCTATAAGAATATAGTTCCTTAGCCCTGTTAAAACCAATTAATAGATATTAAAGATAAGAGATGAAATAGGTTTGAGTTCAATTATCTTATGATTACTTAAGAAAGTAGGAGTTAAGTTATTATAAGATTAAACTTCAATTTCTGTTGTTTGCTTCAAGAGGTTTGTCTTAAATAATTATAAAACTTTAAAGGATATCTGAAAATTTTTTTAAAAAATCTATTACATTCCATTGAGGGAGGGTTTGGGGTAGAGTTAGGTTTGTTTAGTTCCCTTGGTCCTTTTTGATTGGTTAAACCCCCTGGTGGATCGGGGGCTTAGAGAATAGGTTCCTGGCCTATTAGAGGCTTGTCGTAAGAGGCGACAGAATTTTCCGTTAAATAGTTGTATCGTTCAAGATTTTTTTAAAGACTAATTAAAGAAGTTCAGTTAGTTTTTATTCTTATCTATGCTATGTCTTATACAACTCATGCACACACCGCCATATAGGCATAGCATCTATAAGAATATAGTTCCTTAGCCCTGTTAAAACCAATTAATAAAAATTAAAGATAAGAGATGAAATAGGTTTGAGTTCAATTATCTTAAGATTAATTAAGAAAGTAGGATTTAAGTTATTATAAGATTAAATTTCAATTTCTGTTGTTTGCTTCAAGAGGTTTGTCTTAAATAATTATAAAACTTCCAAGGATATCTGAAATTTTTTTAAAAAAATCTACTACATTCCATTGAGGGATGGTTTGGGGTAGAGTTAGGATTGTTTAGTTCCCTTGGTCCTTTTTGATTGGTTAAACCCCCTGGTGGATCGGGGGCTTAGAGAATAGGTTCCTGGCCTATTAGAGGCTTGTCGTAAGAGGCGACAGAATTTTCCATTAAATAGTTGTATCGTTCAAGATTTTTTTAAAGACTAATTAAAGAAGTTCAGTTAGTTTTTATTCTTATCTATGCTATGTCTTATACAACTCATGCACACACCGCCATATAGGCATAGCATCTATAAGAATATAGTTCCTTAGCCCTGTTAAAACCAATTAATAAAAATTAAAGATAAGAGATGAAATAGGTTTGAGTTCAATTATCTTATGATTACTTAAGAAAGTAGGAGTTAAGTTATTATAAGATTAAATTTCAATTTCTGTTGTTTGCTTCAAGAGGTTTGTCTTAAATAATTATAAAACTTTCAAGGATATCTGAAATGTTTTAAACAAAAATCTATTACATTCCATTGAGGGAGGGTTTGGGGTAGAGTTAGGATTGTTTAGTTCCCTTGGTCCTTTTTGATTGGTTAAACCCCCTGGTGGATCGGGGGCTTAGAGAATAGGTTCCTGGCCTATTAGAGGCTTGTCGTAAGAGGCGACAGAATTTTCCATTAAATAGTTGTATCGTTCAAGATTTTTTTAAAGACTAATTAAAGAAGTTCAGTTAGTTTTTATTCTTATCTATGCTATGTCTTATACAACTCATGCACACACCGCCATATAGGCATAGCATCTATAAGAATATAGTTCCTTAGCCCTGTTAAAACCAATTAATAAAAATTAAAGATAAGAGATGAAATAGGTTTGAGTTCAATTATCTTATGATTACTTAAGAAAGTAGGAGTTAAGTTATTATAAGATTAAACTTCAATTTCTGTTGTTTGCTTCAAGAGGTTTGTCTTAAATAATTATAAAACTTTCAAGGATATCTGAAAATTTTTTTAAAAAAATCTATTACATTCCATTGAGGGAGGGTTTGGGGTAGAGTTAGGTTTGTTTAGTTCCCTTGGTCCTTTTTGATTGGTTAAACCCCCTGGTGGATCGGGGGCTTAGAGAATAGGTTCCTGGCCTATTAGAGGCTTGTCGTAAGAGGCGACAGAATTTTCCATTAAATAGTTGTATCGTTCAAGATTTTTTTAAAGACTAATTAAAGAAGTTCAGTTAGTTTTTATTCTTATCTATGCTATGTCTTATACAACTCATGCACACACCGCCATATAGGCATAGCATCTATAAGAATATAGTTCCTTAGCCCTGTTAAAACCAATTAATAAAAATTAAAGATAAGAGATGAAATAGGTTTGAGTTCAATTATCTTATGATTACTTAAGAAAGTAGGAGTTAAGTTATTATAAGATTAAACTTCAATTTCTGTTGTTTGCTTCAAGAGGTTTGTCTTAAATAATTATAAAACTTTCAAGGATATCTGAAAATTTTTTTAAAAAAATCTATTACATTCCATTGAGGGAGAGTTTGGGGTAGAGTTAGGATTGTTTAGTTCCCTTGGTCCTTTTTGATTGGTTAAACCCCCTGGTGGATCGGGGGCTTAGAGAATAGGTTCCTGGCCTATTAGAGGCTTGTCGTAAGAGGCGACAGAATTTTCCATTAAATAGTTGTATCGTTCAAGATTTTTTTAAAAACTAAATTAAAGAAGTTCAGTTAGTTTTATTCTTATCTATGCTATGTCTTATACAACTCATGCACACACCGCCATATAGGCATAGCATCTATAAGAATATAGTTCCTTAGCCCTGTTAAAACCAATTAATAAAAATTAAAGATAAGAGATGAAATAGGTTTGAGTTCAATTATCTTATGATTACTTAAGAAAGTAGGAGTTAAGTTATTATAAGATTAAATTTCAATTTCTGTTGTTTGCTTCAAGAGGTTTGTCTTAAATAATTATAAAACTTCCAAGGATATCTGAAATTTTTTTTAAAAAAAATCTACTACATTCCATTGAGGGAGGGTTTGGGGTAGAGTTAGGTTTGTTTAGTTCCCTTGGTCCTTTTTGATTGGTTAAACCCCCTGGTGGATCGGGGGCTTAGAGAATAGGTTCCTGGCCTATTAGAGGCTTGTCGTAAGAGGCGACAGAATTTTCCATTAAATAGTTGTATCGTTCAAGATTTTTTTAAAAACTAAATTAAAGAAGTTCAGTTAGTTTTATTCTTATCTATGCTATGTCTTATACAACTCATGCACACACCGCCATATAGGCATAGCATCTATAAGAATATAGTTCCTTAGCCCTGTTAAAACCAATTAATAAAAATTAAAGATAAGAGATGAAATAGGTTTGAGTTCAATTATCTTAAGATTACTTAAGAAAGTAGGAGTTAAGTTATTATAGGATTAAATTTCAATTTCTGTTGTTTGCTTCAAGAGGTTTGTCTTAAATAATTATAAAACTTCAAACAATTTCTGAAATGTTTTAAACAAAAATCTATTACATTCCATTGAGGGAGGGTTTGGGGTAGAGTTAGGTTTGTTTAGTTCCCTTGGTCCTTTTTGATTGGTTAAACCCCCTGGTGGATCGGGGGCTTAGAGAATAGGTTCCTGGCCTATTAGAGGCTTGTCGTAAGAGGCGACAGAATTTTCCATTAAATAGTTGTATCGTTCAAGATTTTTTTAAAAACTAAATTAAAGAAGTTCAGTTAGTTTTATTCTTATCTATGCTATGTCTTATACAACTCATGCACACACCGCCATATAGGCATAGCATCTATAAGAATATAGTTCCTTAGCCCTGTTAAAACCAATTAATAAAAATTAAAGATAAGAGATGAAATAGGTTTGAGTTCAATTATCTTATGATTACTTAAGAAAGTAGGAGTTAAGTTATTATAAGATTAAACTTCAATTTCTGTTGTTTGCTTCAAGAGGTTTGTCTTAAATAATTATAAAACTTTCAAGGATATCTGAAATTTTTTTTTAAAAAATCTATTACATTCCATTGAGGGAGGGTTTGGGGTAGAGTTAGGTTTGTTTAGTTCCCTTGGTCCTTTTTGATTGGTTAAACCCCCTGGTGGATCGGGGGCTTAGAGAATAGGTTCCTGGCCTATTAGAGGCTTGTCGTAAGAGGCGACAGAATTTTCCATTAAATAGTTGTATCGTTCAAGATTTTTTTAAAGACTAATTAAAGAAGTTCAGTTAGTTTTTATTCTTATCTATGCTATGTCTTATACAACTCATGCACACACCGCCATATAGGCATAGCATCTATAAGAATATAGTTCCTTAGCCCTGTTAAAACCAATTAATAAAAATTAAAGATAAGAGATGAAATAGGTTTGAGTTCAATTATCTTATGATTACTTAAGAAAGTAGGAGTTAAGTTATTATAAGATTAAATTTCAATTTCTGTTGTTTGCTTCAAGAGGTTTGTCTTAAATAATTATAAAACTTCCAAGGATATCTGAAAATTTT